ATCTACTTACCAACAGTATTTATTAGACTAATACAACGTATCTGCAAATCAAGGTGTTATGCTGTTTCATTAAGGAATAAAATCCCTGTAAAATCATTTCCCTCTTCATTTCCTTCTCAAATGCTCATAGGTTTCTGCTTATTTCTGACTATCAATCTAAAGACTGCCATTCCAGTTCCTGATTAGTTGACATCCAATATCATTCATAACTTTGATGTCAGACTAACTGGAGTGAGAATTTAATGCTGTGCTATAAAGCACCAGCTCCATTTTATGTGGCATCAGGTAAAGTTTCCATCCTCCTCTCCACAATGCACAGCTGATTTTATGATCGGCTGTTATTCCCATAGCTATTTTTCTTAGCTGAAGAATCAGATAAAGTTCTACATTTTGAAGAAACTGGTGAGTGGCATATAGCACCATTTCCTTACACAAGTAAATTTGATCATTGATCCAGAGAGGTCAGCTAGAAAAGGGCAATCTACCAATTTTTTGGTATAGATTTTCTTAGTTTTAATAGATGGGACCTAAGGTTTTATCATCTTATTCAACATGCTGGCATGGTATCTATTCCCTTTCCCTCAAGGTGTTCTACTTGTCACTACACCTTAAGGGCAGGTATTTAAGGCAATAGACGTTAGCTTAGTGATATCTGAGACTCACACAGCTTAACAATATTCACATGGCATTCACACAATGTCTTATCAAGAATGGGATCTTGTTATAGAGCCCATTTTCACCTGACAAGTATTATATATCAATTCTAGGCAAATATATGCATCTCTAAGTCTTGTTCTACTGTTTAGTTATGTAAGCTACTGTTTAAAGATGTTACTTAAATAAATTTTGTTTAGACAATAATATGACTGAGCTCTATATCAAGACAGGATCTGAAAGGACACGTAAAAAGTAATATAGTAAACAATTAATTTACCAACCTACTACCCAAACATATTTTCCCTATTCTGGTTTTGTTTATTTGTGGGGGGGCTACATTTTGATCCTCTTTATTACAAAAAATAGTAGATTCAAATTGAAATACATTCAACAGTATTAGTGAGATCCACTTCAAAATAAAAATAACTTTCATGCTTTTGCACAGTGTTAATGATGTGCTTTTCTTTAGCTTGTAGATATCCTAAAGATGTAACACTTGTTCCTGTTCACATATTGTAATTGAAAGCATCAGGGTCAAACAGTTAATAAAAGTTAAAGGGAAGAAATTAAATAATTTTCCAGGTTATAAAGCATATTTAAATGCATTTGTAACAACAGGGCACACCACACATGCTAGCCTCGACATGGGAGGGACCCAGGAGGCAGGGCAGGACAATGGAGAAATGCAGCAGAATGCCCGGTAAGGGCGGGAAATGGCCAATACTTACCCACAGGTATGGAGCCGGCGGAAGTGGAGTGGCGAGCAGCGCCACCGCAGTGGTTTATAAGTACTTGTTCTCTGTGGCTATGGGGACATTCAGGATTATACATCACAGACCCATGCCCAGAGCCGACTAGAAAAAAAGTGAGCAGAGCCAAGCACTTGGGGGGAAGAGTACCATGACTGCATCAAACTCTGCAACACTGAGAGTCATAAGTACCCTGGCTCCCCAGTCTGGAAACCTGGAGGGGTATCCAACCATCTAGCAATCCAGGGCGGCCTAGAAAAAGGATCCTCATGGACCCCAGCATGCTGAGGTTGAAACAGAGAGCACGTGAGTGCGAAAGCTGCCATGGCCCGACATACGGGCATGGCAAAGACGTCATTCCTTTGGGTTTTGTTGTCCTTTAAAGAGGTGGTCAGTGTTAATTTGGAGAACAGCAGGATATTTGAGGTGGGCAATGAATCCCAGACCTGGAAGTAAGTAAGGCTGAATTGTTTGATTTGAACAGGATAATTAATTGAAACAGACTGCTAAACACCCAGGAATTAGTTAAGGGCTGGGACCTGATTGACACCGATTATGAATTAATTTAGAACTTTATTTAAGAGAGCCTGTGAATTAATTAGCAAATGTATTGATTTAAGATCAACCATGACTTAATTATAGGCTGTGTTAATTTTGGAAAACCTGCAAATGAAACTGATGATGCAACTTGATTGAGGGTCCATAAACTGAGCACGATCAAGAGTGAATTCCAAGGCCCGGAACTAATTAAGGGCCTGACACAGCTAAAGCCCTGGAATGGGCCAGAGGCATCGTGCCACGTAAACCTGGGGACAGGACCATCGACATCAGCCAGATCTTGGTTGACAAGTGGACAGGATGTAGTTCCAAGAACACCAACAACACAGGTGTACCCATAGGGGTTGCCAGTACCATCCCAGGACCCTCCTTTTATTGAAGATCACGGCGTGGTGGCCAAGTTGAGGGAAGTACCCCGTGAACAGGCCACCTGACGTTCCTTAGTGCCCAGGCTAAGAAGGAGCCCAACCAGGGCGGAGATCTCCCAAGCCTCAAGGGATCTCCTGTTCTGGTGTAACCATTTACAATGTTGCTAAATAACATGTTTTACAAAGCACATACACTTTCAAAGGCTTATGCTGAATTTTGCCCCATCATTTCCAATTGCTCCTGTCATAACTAGCTAAACCAGAGTTGTTCTTGGTATGTAGAGAGCATTGCTAGGAGTAAGGTTAAGCCTGCTGAAAAGGGCTAAAAGACTGCTTGTGTCAACCAAAAAACTACATACAAGTTGAGAAGGGATTACCCTATACAACTCAGGTTGTGGGATGGACTGTCAGGTCTTCAAAAACGTTAGTCTTCCTTTTTTGGGTTTACAGCATGGAACAGTCAGTTGTTCAAGCCTCTCCATTTTTATTGGCATGACAGGATATGGAGAGCAAATGGTTACTTCTCTCAGCTGGGCTGTAGTACGACTTGTTTTCACATCCTATTCAACATATGGGGCTGAGTTCTGATGTGCATCCCATGTTCACGATGTATAGCTGGGAGGGATATGACAAAAAGTCATTTGTGACTTGACAATTTTGACAGCTGGTTCTTCACTGTCAGGCTTTTCTGCAGTTTACAGCAGTCTTAGATTCTCCCAGGTATAGTTGGGTGGCTGGCTGGCTGGCATTGGTTGGCTACAGTTGCAAAAGGACATTATGTCAGCTACAGACTGCTGGAATGCTGTGACAGTGTGACTACTTTCCCTTATCTCAGATCCACCCTTATACTGAAGGCTAGGAAGTGGCATAGGCCATGCTCCTGTTATCCTCGACTGGACAATCCACCACTTTTTTAACTCTTTTGACATATGCAAGCTAGCACTAAATTCACAGCAACATAAAAGAGAATCTAGCCTGTGGCACAACATAGAAAGTGTTCATTTTCCAAAGAGGTGATGAGAGAAAAATCTTTGATTTCTGTGATTTAAACGCTGTTTAAAATATTTACTGCCACAGCTATACTGGATATGTATACACTGTAGTCATTGCTGCTCATGTGGACATTCCCAAGATAACTCTTAACTGGTTAGCTCACATATTGGTTGCAGTAAGCCTATAGAAGTACATACTAGATACACAAGTATTTATTCAGATCCTTGAATAGGCTTTTCAATCCATGCTGAGTTCTATGTTGACACTGCTAGCAATACCCAGACAAAAGGGCATCTGAGTAGAAGTCAACATAGACTAGATAATTATTGATTTGCATTGCAGTAGCACCTGGATCATAGTCCATTGTGCCAGTTATTGCACCAACACAGGACAAAGGATGGACTCTGCCCTCAAGAGCTTGCCCTCATTTAAAGCTAGCACAGACACATCAAAATGAACAGTAACTGCAGTGTAAATATGCCCATTATCCTCAATATCCACTAGTGGGAGGCTGTGTGAATTAGTAGTTAAAAGTCCTCAACGGGCACATTGCTTGTACACATGCAATTAACGTGACTGAATATACTGTGCCTCAATTTGATACAGTACCTCTTTCCACTCCCACCCTGTGAAAGAAAGCAGAAATGAGGAGCAGAGGAGCTTAGCTACATCCTTTTCAGTCAACTTCCTGTAAAGAAAAGCAGGAAAGAGGCAGCTTTCCTGGCTCAATCCTTTCCCACCTAAATGAAAAAGAGGAAGGGCTGGTCCCTCCAACTTTTAAACTAATGCTGATGTCACTGTCTACATATGCATTTAAGCGCAATAATTTCCTGCACTGCTGGACACCACTTGTATCTGATGGAACTATCCAGCAACGCAGTAAATTAGTCTACTGCACCCTAATTGCTGTGCATGTGTAGACCATGACACTTTACTAGGCAGCAAATTAGTCTGCAGCACAGCAAAGCATCTCATGTAGACACACCCAACTGAGACTTGGTTTCATGCTAGGTGTTTTATTGGCCCTACTTCATGATGTCAGCCCAGTCACTTTGCCTCCCTGAACAGCAATTTCCCCATCAGCTCAATGCCTGTGTAAAGCACATTGCAACAAAGAAAAACCACTCTATAGGAGCTAGGTACTATTACTAGTACTACAAATAGTACCCTAAGGTCTTCTAAAACCACAATTACAGTGTAGATGTGGTAAGACAAAAGCCATTTTATCATCTTGAAGTGGGATAGGTGTTGAAATCACTTTAATGGAAAGGCCTTAGGCACATTCCAATTCATGTGACGATTTAGTCTTAGAACATTTGGTTAAATTGGATAAGCAAGATTTTGTTTCTCTCTTTTTTTAAATCTCAGTCACTGTGTAATGACAAACGTACCAGACATAGATTAAGGGTGGAACCTTTTGGACCGATGCCACTTTCTAATGGATTTATGTTGACAAACTGCTATGTTTATTCATTGCCAGATAATCAGTCATAGTCTGACCTGGGCTGGTTAGATTTTCCATTATGCTCATGTTTTGTAGAAACAGGTTAAACCAGTGGTTCTCAAACTTTCTAGACTGAAGGCACCCATTGTTAGACTCAAGGCACCCCTCAGAAAATGCCAGCTTTTAATTTCCATTATTTGTTTGTTTTTTACTTCTGGAAGAATAATAAAGCAATTCTTCTGTTGCAAGGAACTCTGAAGGACCACAACAGGTTAGAATGTTTTTAAAACTATAAATTTCTATTTGAAATCTCTGGATTTATCTTGTGAATGATGTTTGCACACCTAACAGTGCTAACTTTGTGAGGCACTCCAAAATGCCACACCACCCTGATTGAGAATCACTGGATTACAAAGGATGCGAGCAGATCCTTAATAACTTAGGCCCCCTCTACACATGCAGGTAAAGATGCAGTTGGATCACAAGTGTGAACCACACAATCATGCCTCCTGCCATGCTACACATGCCTGGCAGGAAGCATGACTGTGGGATTGCACATTAGATCCAATCATACCTTATTGCCAGTGTAGGGGGAACCCAATCCTAGGCTTCCCTTACATCAGCAAGAAGCAGGTACCCATGGCCCAGAAGCTCCCAGCTGCAGGGGGCCATGTCCAGCTGGGACCCAGAGTGAGGCACAGCCAAGACCAAGAGCCGGTGTCAGCCCAGGGGTTTTCACACCCCCGCAAGCTTTGGGGATCCAGGCAGCTGCAATCCCCAGGGCTCAGGGATTGCACCCCTTGGCTGAGAATGTGGTCGGCTGACAGGCTCCCAGCTGCAGGGTATACCCTGCTACACGTGCAGATTAAAGCTCTGTAGCAACCAGCTATAAGGTTAGTGCACATTTTTGAGGCCTGACTTTATAGCTGGTTGGAGTTTTTTCTCATGTGATAGCTAATTTGCACATGTAGCTGGTTTCGGGGTAATTGTGCAGTTGACCAATTAGTCGCACACTACCTGTTACATGTAGAGGGTCCTTATTCACCCAGCTCACAATTCTCTATTGGGCATTTTTACCTAGAGATCTGGTAAAACAGTTACCAACCTTAAGTATTTTAAACCAATTAACCGTGCTCCTTTCTGTGTTTCTGAGCAGCAGGCATGGCACCCAAATTTGTCAGAACATTATACCTCATTTCAGCTTTCCCTTGCACATGTAATACAATAAAATCAATGCAAAACACCTTTCAAATACTGTGGGTGCCTATATGCAAGCAGTGAGGCTGCTCTGATGCACTGTAATTACAGCACGTCGGAGCAGTCTCGATTAATTGAGTTTGCTGGAGTGTGGTAATTACTGTGCTCCAGCAGCCTGTAGTGTCTCGTGTATCAGCATCCCCACACTTAAAATGGCAGTGGGGGCCCGTTATCTAAAGCTCATCTCAAGCTCTAAATAAAGTGCTCCCACTGCCATTTTTAAGCACGGGGATGCTGACACATGAGGTGCTCTGCACACTTTAATTAGAGCAGCTCTTGGAGCCAATATAAATGTAAATATTTTAAATTTAAAAAAGAAATAAAAGCAAACCCAGAACTCCCATTAAACTGGTTTAAAAAAATCTCTTGCTGTTTTTGCAGCCCAAGTATTGAAACATGAAAAACACAAGGACATTTGCCTCAACAATGATTTGGATTAAATCATTATTTATTTGTATTGCAATAGCACTTTGGGGCCACAGTCATGGGTCATGGCCTATTGTTGTGATTGGCACTGTAAAAACACAAAACAGAGCCTATCTCCTTTTACAGTAAGAGAAAGGAGAAGGGAGGCTCTGGCAACACTAAAGGTCTGTAGATCATGCATACCAGCCCGGTCTCTGGCTTCTTTACTATTCATTCCATCCAGGAAGAGCACACATCAACTGCAGAGGCTTCCTCAGCCTGACGAAGGGTTTTTAAACCCGAAAGCTTGCTAAACATTTTTTCTCCCAGCTTTTTAAGTTGGTTGAATAAAAGAGATCAGATTCACCCAAAGAACCTTGTCTACAATAAAAGTATATAATTTACAGTTATTGGTAAAAGCATACAGGACAATTACATATTCTGCCAATTTAAACACAATTAAAGTAGAATATAGGACATGATACAAAAACAGATAAAATGAAAGTATATAAAATGGAGTAAAAAATTAAAAACAGGAAATTGTATTTGACTGTGGCCGTTCTTTGAACAAATAACACAAATACACCTAGGGAGCATAGGATGGGCTGTAAATTTTTAGAAAGAAGCCAACTTGATTTTTCTTCATTTGCCCACTTTTT